CGGTGTACGCAAGGGGTAATGCAAGCACCACGTGTTGGGGAAGGGCGACGAATCCATCATGTTCGCGCGTGGCTCACTACGCAGAGAGGAGGAGACGGATTAAAGGTCGTCGTACAGGACACAGAAACGTCAACATCTCCGCACGAGATGTAGCACGAATATCTGAGCGAACGGGACAGAGTGCTGGACTACGATACCTTTTCGTGGCTGACTGGATCTGATCCAGCCTACGAGACGAACAGTTCACGATATAAGCCTACGAGCTGTAACCTACTAATCTATTGCGCGTATGTGTGGCGTTTGATCATTAAGCTGTAGCGAATTGTAAATGGAGGAGTGATTTCGTCCTCTCGTACATTATGCAGTGCAGAGTGCCTAGTGTACATTGCGCTTACGCTCTTACAGACAATGTCGACTCGACACAGTGAGTACATGGAAGCGATCGCGCTCGACTACAGAGGCGACAAACGATTCCTGCAGGCGTACTGCCTCCGCCAAATCAGCTCAGGCTACACCGTACTCACTCGTTTGTGCGTGTTGGCTCCCAGGCTCACCACAACGCTGCAAAGCTTCACTTCGAAAGGTGGAATGGTCAAACATCGTTGAAGAGACCTTCCTTGGCCTCGACGGCAGACAATCCTTCCGACAACAGTTCGATTCTGGCCGGACGCATCTTTGATAAGCTTCCGTGCTTCGGTGCGCTAGCATCTACACTACAGGACTTCTCGCTCTAATATCCTTAACCTCCAAGAAAGACCTAAGAACAACCACTCTGTTTTCACGTAGCGTTGCCTAGGATTGCAGAAGTATTAATAGGTGTAACGAGCGGTTGCGAGCTCACAATGATTCCTATTGTGTCACTGCTAATGATGATCCCAAAATTAAAATCACTTTTACAAGCATAATTTTTAAAGAAAAAAAGCAGAATGAATGCAAATAACTTTTTTATTTTAAGAAAACTTGTTTCGAAGTTTGGCTTTAAGAAATAACCTGTACCCTATCCATAACTTACCGTACCTTTAAGAAAGCTGTAAAATACGGTAAATTAAAGACTTAAAAACTGCTTTTAGACAATAGCTCACATTGCAATTTACATGTGCCCCGCGAAAGGCTCACAATACAATACAAGAGGTCTTCGCTCTACATGTGCATGTAGCAAAACCTTTGCGAGTAATAATTATACATGTAACACAAAAGCGTCCGATAGGATTGAAACATTGAGGTCCATGCGAGCAAGGTGTCGTGCGATCGCAGTGACACTGACGGTGCAAAGAGTACATGCATCATGAATTTAAGGTGAGCTTCACTGTTGTACGAAGCAATGGATCGAGTCTGCTGCACGATTTCGTGCTGTAATTTCGTCGGATCCATCGGGTCGCACATTGTGTTACATGTGACTGTTCACCCCCTCCCTCGGAAACGCAGAGCCCAGCTGTCCCTGTCAAAACCACAAACAGCAGAAACTTGACCGCTCCCGTTGATCTGAGCTACATAGACGCATGAAACTGGTGAGATCAGTCACCGCGGTCTTCGATCCGACCCAGCGGCGTTTTGTCGCAGGCTGTTGATCAGTCAATCGCAAGCGCTCGATTCCGCCTGGCCCTCTGATCCACTAACACAAACAGCGATACAATGTATGGCGTTGACGTGCATGTGTCCTACCCTGTGTGCTGCCTGGTCTGACTTTCTGGAGACAGATGTGCATGGAAACGGCGCTGGGACGCATACGCAGGCACAACACTGAGTCGCACCCTGCAACAGAACGAGGCACACATGACTTATGAATGATGTCGATGAAATTGTCTCCCTCGTTCTACCATGCTCTCACACGCACGCTCCAACACAAAACTGCGTGATCGTCTCCGACCGTGGTGCCC